GGGGGGGGGGGATTTACGCGTAAACCACGGGAACTGCCGAAGGATTACAAAACTGCTGAAAGAACCGGTCGCCGAGTCGCGGAACAAAGAACTTTCGTGGCTCGCTTTCATTCATCTGGAAGTCGTAGACGGTTGCCGTTGGACGTTGCAGCTCCGATTTTTCCTACTATGCGGCCAGACGTTGGACTCGATGATTTGTCGCTCACGGACAGACCCGACAATCGTACGAAAGTGGCTCCACGCGGCTCCGCGTTTCCCCCGAGTGGCTCTATCCCTGTCGAAGGTCTTTCGTTTCTCGCTGTCAGGCTTGGAAAAATTAAAGGTCCTGCGTGCACGAAGCTCGGACTACCGCAAGAAAAAGGTAAGCAAGAGGAAGAGGATAGTCGGAATGGATGAAAGCTTACCTGCTACGGCCACCGTCCAGTTTTTGCGGCTTTCAGAACGAAAGCAGTAATACCATTACGCTGTCCTGCACGCACTATGCTCGGAAAGTCCAGCCCCCTTTTGTGCTCGATCATCTTGTTCCTGTAATAATTGAGCCGTTTATTTTGAAAGTGGTGATTTATTAATGTTTATACGAAATTATTTATATCGAGAAAAATATCAGTATCCTGAGATAACGAATACAAGTGAATCTTCTCGAAAATTAGCATCTATATTTTGAAACGTATTAAAACGCAAACCCTTAAATATATCGACTTAAAAACAAAGTGACTTATGCCACTTTCAAAATAAACGGCTCATGTTCTAATTTAAAAATATCTGTTCGACATTTGATTCGATCATATTCTAGTTGGAAAATATCTGTTCGATGTTATATTAGATCAAAATGAAGTGCAACGTTGAAGAATCATTATCATTGTTAATAAAATTGGGTTTCAATTCACCATCTATTTAAATTACTCCAGACTTCATTGAAAACAATAAATTATTTACTGATATGAATAGCAGTTAACACAAGTAGACAAATACTAAAAATAGTAATAGTACTTTGGATTGTCCTCAAATATTAATAAGAGTGCAAGCAAGAGTGCACATTCTACTTTGAACAAAAAATGACAGAGTCGCTTAATCCTTTATAAAAGATAATACGTGTCAAAGTGTACTGTGATTCTTTTTACCATCAATTCGAAAATCGCACTTTTCGCCCGATATTAATTTTTATTAAAATCGTCACCATACTTTGGATTGTCCTCAAATGAGCCGTTTATTTTGAAAGTGGCATAAGTCGCTTTACCGTAATGAAAAGTGGTGATTTTTTAATGTTTATACGAAATTATTTATACTGAGAAAAATATCAGTATTCTGAGATAGCAAATACAAGTAAATCTTCTCGAAAGTTAGCATCTATATTTTGAAACGTGTTAAAACGCAAACCCTTAAATATATCGACTTAAAAACAAAGTGCTTTGAACCTTCAAATCGACTAGATTCCTTTTATTTGGTTGGCCGACGAATTCGTGTAAGTGGCAGATTTTTTTTATACGAAGAAATAGCTTTATTCACAATTATTCCATGTATCTTTATCTAATTGTTTTTTTTTTTTTAAATAACTGCCTCT